ACCGCTGTTTACCTTCCTGTAAAGTGGTGCTCATTGTATGAACCTTGGAGGGATAGACGATGGGCTGAGTCAACCCCAAACCAGGATTCGAACTCGCTGCGTTCTGATTGCGAGCCGCTCGCTCTGCCGCTGAGAACACACCTGGCCGGTTCAACTTGGCTTGCCAATTTATGAGCGGGTGGTGCAGCGGTTCGGACAATGAGCTGCGAACTCGGCGACCCGAGTTCGATTCTTGGCCACGGCTAGCATCGGTGGTGAACGATATAAGAACTGGCTCTGCCCTCCCCATCCTCGCCAACCCACGCTGACCAACGCGCGGCACTGGCAATCAATATTTTTCTATTAATTGGTCCATTCTTGTATCTCTCCAATCCGGCATTTACGGCGTGATTGATTTAGTGTGGAACATACAGATTGCATATTGATGTCTATGGTTATTGTTATAATTTTACCGCTCCAAAATATCCATTGGAAAAACAATATCCGTTGTTGTGCTGTACTTCAATGCTCTATTCTCCTCGCCTTCACCGACCCGCAATTGATCGGTGCAGTGAAGTATGGTGAAAAAACCCACAAATACTCCCCCATACTGACATGGGTGGGGAGGTGCTCATCTTTGGGTGGATGGAGAATAGCTGAATTGTACTCTTAAAAATCTCATCACTGGAACATTGTTTTTCCCTTTCTCTCTTTTAGCACAAAAAAGTGCTTGTGTATATATAATTAAGAGTAAAAAAAAAAAATCAGGTCCTGCAGGTATATTTGTTTCCAACAAAGGAGCCTATTTCTCCCACCCGTGCTGGCAATTTACAACCTTCACCGGAACCCGTTAAAACAAGTTCACAGTCAAATCTCCACACCCCCAAACAACAACAGAGCACACGTTTAAGAGAAAATCGCACTGCTTCCGATATTTATCATCTCAACCCACGGGGGGGGGGGGGGGGTGGTGGTGTGGTGGTGGTGCACTGCTGGAGAGGCGAGAGTTTGTGTGTGTGTGTGTACAACATCTCCGCTCTTTGGGGAAACTTCATCACGTTCTGGAAATAATTTGCAGTGAATTAGCCGAGGCTTTAATGAGCAGACACTGAAGCGGCATGCGAGCGCACTCCATTACGGGGGGGGCGGGCGGGGAAGGTGGAGGGATTGGGGGGCTGGCAGGGCCCCACCGCTCACTTGGCCACTTTAGTTCTGCGCCTGCAGTTGCTATGTTCTGGGTTGCTTAGCCCTTCCTAGGCGCCCGCATGCGGTACAGGGGTGCCGCTTATGTGTTCTTTTCTACCCCCCCTCCCACCCCCGATGGATTTGTGAGCACTTAACGTGCTCACAACGTGCTCACAAATCCGTCTTTCTCTTCCTTTCTTCGTGCGAATTTCACGAGAGCTGTCCACGGGTGCCCAAAACGAACGCTTCCTATGTATGTATTAAGCATATACATACGGACCGTTCGTGGGGGGGGGGGGGTGTGCACGTTAGTGCCGCACTAACGTGCCCCGATTGCCTGGGAGAGCGTCAACGACCCACACCACCTTAGTTGGAGACTCTTCAGCGCAGAATGTGAAAGAAAAAAAAGTGACGCACATTATTTTCATTATTTATTTTGAGCACAAACGATCGTCTGGACTCAGCAGTGGGAGGGATTGGGGGAGGTTTTCCGTCACACACAACAACACGACAGAGTTGCCCCTCTGAGCAGTGCGGTCGCTAATAGGGGTGCGCAGGCGGTGCAACTGCACTTGGGCACCACGGGTTTGACCGAAATCCGACAGGGGAGAGGGATGTGGAGGGGGGTCCCATTTAATTCCTCGCAGAATGGCCTATGCCAACAACGCTGCACAATCGGATACAGTCCTCAACGTCGTCGTCATCATCATCATCATCAGCCATGGTCAATCTACTGCTGGATAACGGCCTCCTCCAAGCTGCCATGCAGCACCTCTCACTATCCTGCCATTGTAACCCTGTGCTGTGCCATCGTGTCGTCGTGTTGTGTAGTTTTGTTTGTGTCATTCTGTCGTCGTGTCGCTGTGACGTCATGTCGTCTCGTCGTGTCGTCGTTTCGTTGTCTCGTGTCTTTGTGTCGTCGTGTCGTTGTGTCGCTGTGACGTAATTTCGTGTCGTTGTGTCGTTGTCTCCTGTGGTTGTGTCGTCATATCGTTGTCGCTGTGACGTCATTTCGTGTCGTCGTTTCGTTGTCTCGTGTCTTTGTGTCGTCATATCGTTGTGTCGCTGTGACGTCATTTCGTGTCGTTGTGTCGTTGTCTCCTGTGGTTGTGTCGTCATATCGTTGTGTCGCTGTGACGTCATTTCGTGTCGTTGTGTCGTTGTCTCCTGTGGTTGTGTCAATTCGTTGTGTCGCTGTGACGTCATTTCGTGTCGTTGTGTCGTTGTCTCCTGTGGTTGTGTCGTCATGTCGTTGTGTCATCGTCTCGCGTCGTCATATCGAGTCGTGGTGCAGTTGTGCCATTGGGTGGGTGATGTTTTCGTGGAGCGTTATCGCGACGCGTTGTATTTCCTTTGCGTACCTGTGGTTTTCTTTCATTGCTTTTACGTCTTCCAAACTCTGGAGCACTGAGCTCTGTATCTGGGGGAAAATACCCCCCCCTCCACCCCCCACTGAAATACAAGCTCATGGATTATGTTTCGTGGGAATTTTTAGCGCAGGGTTGGATTGTTTCCACCCCCCCCCCCCCCATTCTTTATTCAGAAAATGAAATGATATATATATATGAAAAACAACGGTAGAACAATTGAAAGCTGTCAAGGAACTGCTGCGAAAATATGACACCCAGTCAAGATAATTTCATCCTTCAGCTCAATTTGCACTGCCTACCACTTAAAACAAGGCACCTCTGCTGCTCACGGTCACCATGCAGTGCGTCTCATATCCAGCTCTCCTTGGCAGTCCGACTTAGAAGGTGTGCCGTAGCGTGCCTTAACAGGTGCTCGCTGACAGCACTTGCCTTCAGATAGACGCCCCCATATGCTCGCAGAGAGACCCATTGAGACCCATGGACTCCACGTGGAATCCTCCGACCGGTTGTCTCTGTTCAGCGTTTCGGGGATGATGTCGCGTTCAGAGACGCCGTTTCAATCCGCATCGTATTGTCATCGTATTGGCAAAGGCGCAGCCCTGCAATTTCTATCTCACGCCACTGCCGGCAGAAGGATTTCGGCTTTAAGGAGCTCCAAAGAGCCCCCCTCCTCTCTCAAAGGGTGCTGCCGTGATGGACCAGTTGGCACCCTCCAGGGCTTGCTCGCCGGTTCGATTTCCTGGTGTTCGCAGTTGAAACACCTGGGTACGTTTCGTTTTCTCCAGTCCGCCTCCCTCACCGCCGTCAGACTGTCCACCCACGGTCAGTCGAACGGCAGGTCGTGTGCGGTGACCAGCATGGTAGAGGAGGCGGACAAACCCTCTCGCTTCAGTGGAGACCCGTTTACCAGCAGTGGTGTGAGCACAACAATTGCACGGCTGCACCTTTACCGACAACAAAGTGGGCTTGGTGATGAGAGAGTTCAGGCGAGGGAGAATTCAGGTGCTGAGGGACAATTCATCTGCCAGAGCATCTTACAAATTGATTCATTTTAACGTGCTTGCCCTGTCACGTTCAGTGACATGTTGATAGTTTTTGCCTGCGCTAATTGTGCGCGGGTGAAATTGACTTCATGAACGAGGTCAGCTCAGATTGTTTCCCTCACAGGAATGGCTGTCTGCCTGTCTGCATCAAAAGCGAGTCCATTGATATTTCTCTTTTTTTTGCCAGAGGGATTTTTTGTTGTTTCATTGGAATAAATCCAATTTAAAGCATACATATTTCATTCGAAAAAAAAAAAATCCACTAACAAATAGAAGCCAACGAAAATCTATCAAATTCATATGTATCGGGCCAATAGCGGCATTGACTTGTGTGCACGCGCGCGCTCGCGCGTGTGCGGTTTTCGCGTAGCTTAATATTGCATCGCGCAAAGCGATCCCTCCTGCCTCCGTGCCCATCGATTTAGCTCCCACACCGCAGCACGTGGTCCTCCCTGCAACCGTGCAGCAGCAGCAGCAGCGCTGCTCCCATTTCGCTGCCGTTTAACTCGCGCCGTCGTCGCGCACGCGCGCGTAACAAAACCCACCTCTTTTTTTTTTTACGATCGACGTCGAAAATGTCCGCGGATAATTCCGGCAGAACGCCGGCGAAGCCACCGGCGGTAGCAGCGACGGCGGCAGCGGCGGCATCGTTGTCGTAGTCGTGCGGTGTTCAGTTGGGGGAAAATGCGCACAAACTGATTACGCGTTGCTGCGGGGCATTATGGGTAGACGCATATTACGACTACGAGCAGAACTCCGTGTGTAGTGTTGTGTGCCATGATGAGACCCAGACGGTGGAAACCAGTCCACAATTTGTCAGTTCAACAGCGTTCATTCGGGGCAAGGCTGAACTCTGCTGATGAAACAGTGTATGTCGAAACTGGTCGAGTGTTTGCCGGTACTGAATCAATACTGCTGAAATGATTCGCTCCCAGAAGACCATGGGGTGGATGGTTTGTGTAAAGAATACTTTCACGTATTTTGTTTACGTAGAGGGACGGATATGAGAAGGAGACATATTAATCTGCAAACCTATGTCCCTAGCTATGACTCAAGCACCCGAGCGTGGAGTGCAGGGTTGAGAGGTGAATGAGTGGGATCAGATGGGACTGTGGAATTTGTTTTTCATGCACCTGTTCTAGGGCAGACAACTTTAGAGATATTATGTAAATATCTATATACACAGTGTTAACTGCATCCAGTAATGGTATCACATCAAGCACACACCACTGTTGGATGCATATTTTTTCATGAAAGTGGCGGAAAGTTATTTAACCTGTCTGTGCATTCTGTCTGTCACTCTCCCCCACCATTTTTTGTGCTTTCCTTCATCTCTTCTCTCCTGTTCCTCTTTCTATCTGGACCCCATTCTCTATCTCTCTCTCTCTCTTTGCGGTCCCCTACTTCCTTGCCTGTGCAACAGCAACAGCAGCAACAGCAGCAGCAACAGCAGCAGCAGGCTTCGCGACGGGTGAAGTTCATGCTGGAGGATGGCGGCACCCGCCAAGAGTGCTGTGACTCATCACTGCAGAGTGTGGCGGACAGTGGCCTCGGAGACCCCGAGGCCACCACCACCACCACGGCGACTACCGCGGCTGTCAGCAGCGGCAGCGGCAGCAGCGCTAGCACGGCCAGTATGGCCAGCACCAGCGCCGTAGCCGCGGGGGTCGGCATCCTCGGCGTCGCTGGGACAGCGGTGGGCCCGGCCGGGCCTGGCGGCGTCCTGGCTGGCGGGCTGTCCGCCGCGGGGGTGGCCAAGCTGCCGGGGTCTCAGCTGACGGCGCCGCTGCTCGCCGATTCCCACTACGAGCGCACGACGCCGGACGGATGCACCGGTGAGACCGATCACCACCCCTGAAAACGGTACGGCACCGAGCTTCGAGCGCCCTTTGCTCACCGCATTCCTGACCACTCCGCGGGACAAACAGTTTACGTTTCGACCGCGCTTTATCATCGGCTGTTTTTCTTTTCTGCCCTTTGTTTTGTTTTGTTCTTCATCGGTCGTTAAAAAGTGAGGCCGTGCGGTGTTTATAAATTCCGCCCTGCGAAAAAACCGAAGCGAGGTGCACAGTTCCAAGACAAAGTTGGCAGATGCAGGCCTGCAAGCCATCAGCTTGAGAGCAGGAGCCCTGGATTTATGGAAGGGGCAGGCACGAGGCCAGGTCTCGGCTCAGATCTATAAACCACGTGTGTAATCACTCCCGGGTAATGTACACAAACATTCACTTATTGTGAGTCTGATGCGCAGGCCATAGGCTTGACATCCCCGTTTGTTTATAACCATCCGCAACAATTTGCCTCCATTGACCCGGGGGCCCGGATCAGACAGCGGTGAAGAGGGCCCTTGTGACCAGGTGTCCCTTTCCATCCCTCCAGGTCTGGCTTGCTTCAGTAACCACGCTTCAGACACCCAGCCCTGATCCCACAGCAGAGGAAGAGGGGGTGAGGAATGGTGAAAGGCAGGGCCCTGCTAGCCCAGGTCTTCACAACTTCCACACGGAGTGCCCGGGCGGACTGCACCAAACCTCGTTAATCCGGGGGGCAACGTTTTTCGGAGCCACGGGGAGTTCGTTTTCTCGCAGTGCGGTTGTTTGTGGCCCGAGTGATGTGCCCGGTCGTGGGGAATTAGTTTCGTGGAAGCAACACCCTGACGATGCACAACAGACGCCCTCGTGGCCTGCGAACGCATTGTCAGAAAAGCCCTCGTCTGCTGGTCATTTCGCGAATAACAAATTCATCCGCTTTTTATTGTCGCCGATAAAAGCGGTTATTGCAAACCGATTTTCGAGCGTTCATAGAGGGAAAGCATTTTCTTTACCGCCCCCCCCCCCCGAATGAAAATCCATACGTGTGTCAGCTCCATGTGCTTTCCACTACCCCCCCCCACCCCACCCGCTATGCACCACGATCCGCCCCGGTGTGAGCAGAGCGAACGGTAACGTATCTCACCGCCCGCGGCTCGCATCGCGTTCCAAGCTTTGATTGTGCATCCTGGTGGCGGTGGCGGCGGCATCGTCGTCATCGTCGTGTGAGTTTGCGCGAGCGGCGCTGGTGCGGGTGATGAATGAAGCGGCGTGTGTCCCTGTGCTCGTTCTGTCGCTGCCTCCGTCCCCCCCCTCTCCTCTCGTCTCACTGCGGTGGCGAGATGTTAACTCCCTCGCCTGGTATACAGGATGTCGTGGGTTTGATCCCGAGCCTGACGCCTGCTGTATATTTGGAGTTTGCGTGGTCTCTCTCCCCGTGGTCATGTGGATTTTTCTGCTGGTCTTCCGATTTTTCCCCTCCCATTTTAATTCAACATCACGCATTTTGAGTATTTGACTGCCACAAATTTGCATATTATGCACCACTTCGCTGAGCTATCATTTGTGGGCAGGTCACATCTGAAAAAGAGATATATAGCTCAGTTTGCTATATAAAATAAAATGTTTTTTATAATTTAGTCTTGCCGATCTGCGTGCTGATGGCGCATTTAGCACTCATGCCACCTAATGGCGTCGCGTGAGGAGTTGATGTAGTAGTAATAGCAAAACGTTACATTTCTAAAGTACTTTTCTGCAAGGTACTCATAGCGCTTTCGATACAAAGACAAAGACTCACCGTATAAATAGGCTGTTGGGGCGAGTGCTGCTAGGCTGGCATGGCACACGAAAGTGTGGGTGGTCAGCACCACGCCTGGCCACCCTCTCCCTAGTGGCGATGTTTACTACACACCGTACCAGGTACTCATTTGAAGCTGAGCGCTTTCTCCACATGACACACACACACACCGTCCGATCACAGCCACATGACCGCAGGCCTTCACACTGCCGTCCCTCCCGAGTCCCAGCAATCTGCCGCCGCCCAGGGCAAAATGCCGACTTTGCCTCTGCGCCCAAAGTTGGCGCTTCCACGTTGCCCGCCCCGCTCGCCCCCCCGCACAGCCAACTGCCGACGCTTTCCCCTCTCTGTAGCCCTCCACTCAGTGGGCTCCTCCGTCCAGCGAGGCCCCCTGTCGCGGTTGCATCGCCTTGCGCACACGACGGCGACGACGGCCGCCGACGCCGCTGTGTAGGTCTCACCTACAGGCCCCCCCCCCCCACCGACGCCAATCACGCTCCCCCCAGACCCGCTTCGCGAAAACGCGGCGCGGCGAAGCGCGCGGTGGCGTCTCTTGAATGGACCCTTTCTGCCCGGCGATGATGTAGCGCTCGAGGCCGCATTAGGGAAGTTGGCTAATGAGACGCTCGGCAGGGCTCTGTGGGACGCTGGCCGGGTCTGCGAGCTCGCACGGGTAATGACCGATTCGCCAGAGCACGGCCCAGGACATTACATCTGTTCAGCGGTTCGATGACGCTCGCACTTTTTAAATAAATCGCAGCAATTGCGACGGTGCTGATCTAGGAGTGTAATTTGGAGACCTTTTTTTTCGTCTAAAAACTATTTATTACAAAGCAATTTTCCACCTTTCCTATATTCCTGCCCCTACCACTTCCACCTTATGCCCCACACCCCCCTCCCCCCATGCAATAACCTCTGGGTTGCTATTGAATGTTAATCTACACGCGTGGCCGGTGTGTAAGTTCTTAGTGCATAGGTCACTATGTATTCAACAGAGCCAATAGCTCTCTCATGTGTTTTTTGGGTTGTGCCGCGTTTTGCGCATACGTGTTGTCCAGCGTTTCGCTCCACGTGATGGGACCTTCTTCCAGAAACCGAACTCGGTCTGGTCCCTGAGGACCGAAACGTCGTACGTCATGATAAAAAAAACGCAGTGCGACCCGAAAAGCACGACGGAGAGACGCAGAGCGCAATCGCAAAAACTCGCGCAGGGGTTTAGCGGAGCCCCATCGCCACGGGATTGGGATTCGTTTGATGTGAGGACGGGCGTGTGCACGGTGTTTGACAACAAAAAAATCTACATCTTCTGGTTTTCAATAAAATAATAATCATAATTATTATAATTTAACTTTAACTTCTTACCATGGCCGTGACAATGGCTGTCGGGTCTTGGGCGTAGGCACCCCGGCGGACAGCTGCCAATGAGCGACCCTTACCACCACCATTGTCACCATCGCTCCATTCGCTGTCATCGCCACCGTGACCCCCGCTGCTTGCCAATCATTTACGCGTCGCTGGCCGCTGAACGGCGCGTCGGGGTAACATCATTAATAGCGTCAAAAAAAGTAAACTCTCCTGCCTCACTTTTTCAACCGCATGGCTGATCAAAGTTTTCATCAAATTATGCCGATATTAAAGCTCTAGTGGAGGGCGAAGGATGGCGACGAGATAATTGCTCTGCCCGTGGAGTGGAATGCGGGCGTCCTGTCAATTGCTTTAATCCATCGCCATGAGAGCAGCTGGTGAGAGGACGTCAGTTCATGCGGTGCCAAAGGACGCTGCTTTCACAGAGCTCCTGCCAAGGTGCTGCCAACAATTACCATAAGGCTTCTGATACCGGGGACCGTGCCAATGCCTTTTCTAAATTTGATGATATATCTCTATTTTATCCGTATACCTTTGCACGTCTTATCGGAGGTTTTCAAAGCTTGCACGCATTGCCTTGTCCATCTTGTCTTTTATAATTAGCGGTCGGGCAGATTTAATGGTCAGTCTTGCATCGTTGGCAATTGGTAGCAACTTTGGCAAATTTCGGATGAATCTTCTTTGTGTTTTTTTTTTGGCTGCACTAACAAACGGTGCATTGCTTCATCCGACTTGTGCACCCATCCACTTGTGAAGAAGTCTGCCGATGAATACAGCAGCTTGCGTTGAGCAGACAGCGAACAAACGGATTCCTTTACGATGGCAACGTGTGACGCTGGCGCTAGCGCACCGTGTCGACGCCACGTTTGGGTCGTGCAGGACTGTGATCGCAGGCACTCCACGTTCCGTTACTTCTCCACCCTGGTGGTGTTGCCGCTGGCCCATTGGGGGCCCTAAGCAGACCATTCTCTTTGGTTCCCCTTCCCCATTCCCCCATGCAATTAATACAATCCTCGTGAGATGTCAGAACATATGCATGCATAAGACTGAGATGTAGTGGGTTGAGAGAAGAACAATGCAGTGAGAAATATTCATTGGCTTTTATGTTCATGGATTGTTTTATGTTGATTCGATAATTAATTGGTGCACCCTTCTTTAATAAATCCAGAGGCCGCCTGCACTGCTTGGGTCACTGAGCTCTTGCTTGGCGTGCTTATGCAGTGCCCCCCCTTGTTATCACATGGAACCCGGCCTCAATTAAAAAGTGATTGTGAGTGAAATCCGCTTTATTTTACACTGGCAACAGAGGACAGATCAAATGGTAGCTACGCAACAGAGTGCAATTTATGTTCAAACATACTGCAATGGATGTGCCAGTCAGGCTGTAATCAGTCATAATGGGGTTCAGAGGAAAAAAAAGTATCTGTTAAAAATTATAAAATAAAATTGCCTACAATATACAGAGTACAGTCCACAGAGTGCAGTGCATTGATTGACTGTTTTTGTATTCATATATTAAAGGCATTGACGCCTTCCCTAAGCACTTTCAGAAACGGTCCATTTCTACAATCCAATACCGAACAAGAGAGGGGTGTTGTTTTTGGTGGTAAAAACCGGGCAAAGTTTAAAATAGCAATCCAGAAGTGTGTGGGTCTTCTGACACGTGCACAGGGTAGGGATATGCTCCCGATTTTTAGATTGATCTGAAAAAAAAATAGAAAATCAGGGGTAGATATGGAATTCAGGGCTATTTGAAAAAAAAAATCGGATTATTCCAGGGAAGGAAGTGAAGTCACAAATAAAACAATGCAACACATTTGCCGATATCACATCTTTAAAAAGAAAACAAACATATATAAAATATTATTGG